AGTTGTTGTTGTCGAGCACTGGAACTTGGAAGGCTGCCATAGCGTTGCTAGCCATAGCTCTGGTACCACTTTGTTGGGGCTTAAAAAGACTTCTCTACTTTGGAGACGTTTATCTCACAAAGAAGAATGTAATGCAGCGGAATTGATAGGCAAGAGAAAGAAGGAATACTCAAAGTATTACACAAGATTTTTATTCACTCACAAACTTAGTACAAGAAGAAACACTCAAACACTCTTAGAAGCTTTGTTGCTTCTTCTCACTTCTCACTACTTGCTCTCTTGGTTGTTACAAATGGTGTGGATGCCTTCTCCTTTTATAGGCATGGATGGAACCTTGGAGAAGCATGGAAGTATCATGCTAGAGATATCTAGATAATTCCACTACCTTCCTAAGCTAGAATTATCTACATTAATCTTGTATGTTGGTGGAATCCTCACCATTCTTCTAGACTCTTCCACCAACTTGAACTTTGCTAGAATTCTCTAGCATGTGCATGGATTTTTCTTTGTGTATGGGCCGGATCAATTGTCTTGGGCCAAGATAAGATTACATTTCAACACATGGGTGGGTCGACTATAAACTTATACTTCTAAATATAACATTAGCAAATAAAAGACACTTCATAATTATTTAAGTTGATTATGTAACTCTACGTTGCAATGTGACGTTCAACCTAAAAAAATTCTCACGGACCTTAATTACGTACCAAGTAGAGGGGTTTTCCTTTTCTAAATATGAAATCTACAGTGCCTTGAATGAAGCAGTCTTTGAACAAATGTAACCCCTTGTAATCATAAAGGGTGTCCTGATATCCAATCATTTTGCAATTGTAGAAGGCTGCCTTGTTCCCGGATATCTGCACTGCAACTGCCTGTGCACCCTCTCTTATTCCATCCGGCTCCGGCGCTGAATTCTACAACAAAACAAAAAAATCCCTACATTAATCTATTAATTTTTAATTACCATCAAAATGACGCTCTAAGTGTGAGTTTGGAGAAGATGAATTCTAAGGGGACTCTCTCAAAAGTAAGACTTTCAATGCCCAACACTATAAAATAGGATAGTGCTATTCATACACCCTCTTTTATCTCCCACACATCCTTATTAATATTTTTTCATTGATATTTTCAATTCATTTGATCCGATGGTCAAAAATTAAGAGGGGTATGAAGTAAAAATAGGTATGTAGATAGCACTACCGTAAAACATTGTGCGGAAAACATGAGGTGACAAAAAGTCTACGAAGAACTTCACTTTTAAGAGAGTCCCCTTATATAGTACTTTCCTTGGAGAATTACATACTATAATAACAAGATTAACAGCCCTAAAATAGTCTGATTCCACAATCAATGTGCCACTATACACAGTCCCATACTTCTGCGCGGTGCCATCAAATGTAATATTTGGCATACTTTTTGGCGATCCATAAAATGTAACAAAGGGTTTGTTATGTGGAATTGTGATTTTCTCGTTGTACACTCCCCCTTTGATGTACACAAACATGCGTTTTGTGTTCCCGGCTGGAATGCTATTGATGGCGTCGGTGATGGTCTTGAAGTTTCCACCTCCATATTGCATGACCTTGATGACCTGGGGAGCATGCTCAGCCGCAACAAGGGCAGGGTCAAGCGTTGACTTTCGTTCATTGTAGGTTTTCACATTATTATCGAACCAGCTAGCTACTTGGGAACTATCGGAAGGTATCGGTATCGTATCATCGGCGATGGCAGCGGTACTTGAAGTGAGCAGAATTGTTATTATCATCAGAGATGCATTAATGAACATGCATGGCGTTTTTCCGGCCATCTTTCTCCTTCTTGACGCACGATAAATTAAAAAAAGTTAAGTTTTGCTCGAAAACTATACAAAAACAATCTAAACTTTTGTGAAATCTCAAATCTACGTTTTTCAGCTTTATTCTACTGATTAGCTAGAGCAGTAGGTTGATGGTTGTTCATGAATGAATAATACCACAATCCATGATTATAGGATTGACCCAAAATATGTGAGGTTAGAGAGCTCTAGCTCTCGCGCATGTTGATTTTTAATGGCAATAATACGTCTCAGATTCTAAGGCTTTCTCCCTAATATTTTAGGGCTCTCTTGAGAGCTAATTATATTACCTACTAAAAAATGCATAGCCAAAATTAAAAGTAGCTAAAGACAGTAATAATCCATAACATTGTTGCACCATAGGGAGGGGAGCGAGAAACATTTTTAGCGGGGGCAACCTTAATCTCCAGTTATACTTGAGAAAAAAAAAATTAAGATAGTAGAATATCTTCTATAATCTCATTGCTTTTTTTTTTCCTCAAATTTTATTAGGCCAACTTGTATGCATTTTTTTCACAATGATAGCTTATTATTATACTTATTATTTGGAAATCTCAACTGATCAATTAAAGTACTTAAATATAATAAATTCAAGTTTTTTTTTTTGTTTTGAAATTCAAGTACAATATTCATTTCATAACTGGAACAACGTACAATCAGAGAAATGATGCTAACAGTGGGTCTCAATAAAAACCTTCCCAGGAATCAACCCGAATGAAGGGAAAAAGAGTGTCCCGCACCAACAAACTTAATAATTAAAACTATCCTCCAAAATAAGATCAAAAATTATATCAAGAGGGTCCTCAAACCAAGAGACGGGATGCTCCAAAGTTAAACTAAATCTAGCTAACCGATGAGCCACTGTATTGGCATCTCTTAGCACAAAGTTAGCTTTCCACAGTTGGAAAGATTGCAGGATCCGTCTTGTGTCATCCATCAAATGCCCAAATGGCCCAAAGTTAGCTTTCCACAGTTGGAAAGATTGTAGGATCCGTCTTGTGTCATCCATCAAATGCCCAAATGGCCCATGATTAGCCGCCAAATTATTTTGAATTGCAGCTATCACCAATAGTGCATCACCTTCCAATATCACCTGTTCATTCTGCCATTGGTGAGCAAATAAAGCAGCTTCACAAGCAGCTGCAATCTCCGCAAGCACAAGTGATGTAATACCAGTCAACTTCAAAGCCGTAGCTGCTATAAAATCCCCAACCGCATTCCAGATGATCACGCCAACGCCTCCCACTGCATCTAACACACTAAATTGTCCCTAACTTTATAATTATCACTTATCAAATTCATCAGTGTGGAGATTTCTCAAAAAAAAGCCTCGATATTAGTTAGAGTGGGTTCATCATATTTAAAGTCATTATGTTTACTTTCCCCCACCGATTTTGTTTGTACCTTGTAGGAAATTAGCGCATTAACATCGGCCATTTCTTTTCCTTCCATATTTTAAAAGTTCTTCGCCAACTCCGCTCTTCCTTTCCGTATCCTCTCTCTCTACAATTCCTTTTTTATTCTCCTAAGAACCCTAATAATATTTCTTCCTCAATTTTCGTCTCCATTTGTTTTTCGAGCAAGAGCTAGCATGCTTTGGAGCTCACTTAATATATATATACACTCACTTAATATATATATACACTCATGCTCCGAATGTGAAGTATTTTCTCTTATCTCATAAATCTTATACTTCTTATTAGTCACTCTTTTTACATTAATTTGCAAAACACAGTAACTAATGCAGAATCAAACATTTAAGTAGAAGAATTAATTGTTGTCTTTCACTTTATATTTATTTGAAGAAGCATGAATAATATGATACATATATTCTCTGCCCTTATGTAAGCATCATATTTTTTTTACTTCGCACAAAACTTTAATAAGTAGGGAGCCGTCTCATTGTGCCTTAGCTGCCTCCATTCCTATGCACCATTATAGTGTGCTGAGAGGTAGCAACATTTATAAAATAATAAAATAATAATAAAAAGTATGATTCTCTTTAATTTATTGTGTCCTATGCTCAAATTCTCCTATGTTTTTTTAGTGTAATTTAGAGTAATAATATCGCTTGTAATAACTAAAGAAATATATAATTATCGTGTACTAATTCTGAAGTAATTCCTTAATAATTAATCTTTTTGGAAATATATAGGTTTGTTGTCTCTGTTGGTATTAATTTCTTTTGTCTCAGCCTTTACAATGATGCCAAAAACAAAATCCAGAACTCTAACTTGTTATAGATTTGTTTTGGTTTAGCTATATATGATATGCATAATACACATAGGGAGTTGATTATTTCACACTATTTCAACTTCTTACACACACCTTTAATTTTAATTATCAGATTGAATAAATCAACCCGAAACAAGGGTTATTAAATAAGGAAAACTAATGAAAAGGGCTTGAAAACTTTGAGTTTTAATGATAAGGACAAAATAAAGGGTAAAGTGAATAGTACCAGGATTGACTTTTTAGTGTAAAAATGTGGTTTTTCGTTAAAGTGAACAGTACCGGGTGCTTTTCGTTAAAGTTCCATATTAAATAGTGTGTGTAAAAGCTAAAAATAGTGTATTTATCATTTCTTTATGTATTTACCGTCCCCTTGTATTGAGGGATGCCTTGTGCCCCCATTATATAAATTTTTTCAACAATTCATACCGTCTATATTTTGATCTATCATTAATAGGTCATCTTTGCAAAAATTAGACAATCCAAAATCATTAACATATATATCCAATTGTAGTGAAGAAAATCGACAAATTTGATGCTTCAAAGAAACACTAAAATAACTACTATTTAACGAACGGTCATATGTGTTCCGACTTATGTAACTTTTGGTAGAAATGATCATTAAGAGAATAATTAAAAGATAAATGGTTTGATCATTGAAATACAATGTAGAGTGGCCTAAGCTAATTGATGCCTCATTGATATAAGTTGCGGATTATTTACCTACCTAATTTCTTGAAAATGGATATTTTCAAGGAGGATGGATATATTACTCTAGAATCTGAACCAGTATTTGATACTATCATTTCTCTTTCGTGTAGGTATTAAAAAGTTCAAGCTTTTTAGGAGATACATCGATAACACTTTGAAAATGCAAGAAATTCTTATTTTCTGCAAATTGAAAGGTAGTTATAAGAATGCTAACCGGTCCACAAAGTCGAATATATGTGCATATATAAGCGGATTCTATACAAAGTAAGGCACGATATTAGTTTTATACACTGCTAGCTCAATATGATATAAGTACATTTTGCATGAGGCATGCATGCGTGTGGCTTGCTCAATGGCACCCAAATATATACATAGAAAAATCAACTATTTCCCTAGCCCTAACAGTATTATTAGTAGTGTATATACGTATACTATATATAAAACTACACTTTTGGATTTGGAGGAGGAAGCAGCCATTTGGAACCCTGAATATAGCCAAGGCTAATGAAACGCTTGGCTTGTTCGTCAGTCAGCTCTTTGCTCAAATTTCTCTTATTATTCTTACTTGAACCTGGACCCATGCACTTGTACTCTCCGTAGGACACAGTTCTGCAATATCAAATTACTTATTAATTAATTTCAAAAATTAATTATACGAAAATGCTTAATTTTGTTTTAATTAACATAATCCTGCTTACTTGTCGCGTTCAGAGTGGTTATCGTTGCTCCATCCGGCAGGGTTTACCACCTTGGTCATGTTGGTGTATGCATACACCACCTGGGGTCTGGCCCTCCAAGCCCTTCCCAAGTATGTGCCAATGCCTGTCCCAGTTATCTTGCAGTGAACAAATGAGTATCCAGTGTCCTCCGAATCTGAGTCCCTTGCCTGTGCTGTTATCACCGTTATTCCATTATCCCCCAGCACATGCAACTCAGTGTTCTGCACCCATTAATTATATGTTGCATTATTAATCACCAACCATCAAAAGTTCAAAACCATGACTTGACAAACAAAAAGATTAACTATATGTTTACCCACCCAAATAATGTTTTGGGAGGGGGACGGGGAACAATCATGTGGATTCCACTGTTAATATGATGAGACTCAAATAATCCCCACTTGACTAATGTTGTTCCTATATATGACATGATCTCATACATAATTTTTTAATGGAAGAAAAAGATAATTGTATAAGTCAATCATATGTAACTTTTTTCTCACATGTACTTGAAATACATTGCTACGGTCAGACTCTGCCATGTAAGGTTAAAATCACCGGCTTTATTTAGGAATTATGGGTTAGATTGGGAGGCATTAATTACCAAATAGAGAGACTTTCCACTTCCCCAAATGAAATCCACAGTGCCTTCAATGTAGCAGTCCTTGAACAAATGATTGCCCCTGTCATCACAAAGGGTGTCCTGAAACCCAAACAGCTTGCAATTGTACAAGGCTGCTTTGTTCCCCGACACCCTCAATGCCACTGCCTGCGCTCCCACTCTTTTCCCATCTGGCCTTGGTGAAGAGTTCTACACAAACCAATCCACCAAAAATGTTAACCAAAAATAATTATATAACGGTAATATCACGTGATATGACGTAAACAACTTACTTTAATAATAAGATTAGCAGCAACAAAGTAATCGGATTCTGCGATCACTGTAGCACTGTTTACAGTTCCATACTTCTGGGCCGTGCCATCAAATGTCAAAATTGGCATATTCGTTGGAGAACCATATAATGTGACAAATGGTTTATTTCGCGGAATCGTAATTTTTTCTTTGTACTCTCCTGATCCAATGTACACAATGACACGTTTGGTATTCCCGGCCGGAATGCTATTAATGGCGTCGGTGACGGTCTTGAAGTTTCCTTTTCCATCTTGCATGACCTTGATGACTTTTTGACCAGCCTCGGCCGTCACAACGGCAGGGTCAAGCGTTTTCTGCCGCTGTGTGTACGGCTTCACATTGTTATTGAACCACGTGTTGACTTGGGAAAGGGCGGCTGGTACCGGTGTATTGTCGTCCGCCATGGCAATGGTGGCAGAGAGGAGAATTGTCATGATTAAAGCTGCATGGACGACCATGCATTTGTTTTTTCCGGCCATTTTATTTTTATTTTGTTTTTTTGGTGCTATTGATTAGAGTGGTGGAAGGTTTTGATTTTATAGTCCACAAAGCATGAGGTGCTTTAAGGCAAAGTGTAAGATTAGAGGGGTTATTAACCCAAAATATGGGAGACTTGGATAACTTTTCGGATAGTTTGATTCGTCATTTGGGGTTTATGTTTGTTTGGATTTCAAATCCACCCTTTGTATTAACGAAATAAAAAACCACTAGCTATAGAAGCAACAGCTTAATTTGGGAAGGAACATGGATAGCCTAATTATGGTTCTATGATTGATATATTTACTGCAACACTCTTAAACTCGACTCACTTTACATCTTAAAATTCTTTTTATTCACTCAACCCTCTTGAAGTACTCTCTCTCTCTCTCTCTCTCTCTCTCTCTCTCTCTCTCTCTCTCTCTCTCTCTCTCTCTCTCTCTCTCTCCGTCAAAGAAAACATTAGAATAACCTATATGCCTATATGGCACTATATATATCGTCCATATTATAGAGGATTAAAATTCAATTAGTCATACACTTCTCTATTTTCAGAGTTGGTGTGCTGAAAACGGAGGGATGGAGGAATTCGTGGGTCTTAAATTGATTCTTTTACGACTCAATTATTATTATTATTATTTTTTTGTTTCTACATATTAGTAGAGATTATGATTCTATTAATTTGGTGCCGAAAAAGCATTAGCCATTCAGCCATGTATTACTTGGCAACAGGCACACTTCTAACAGAGCCAATTGTTTAGAATTCTAGAAATAGGTAAACCGCAAATCCATATAATTTGAATACAAGAAATTGATCCACCTGTCTAGCCCATTAATATGGTTAGTCCAATGTGAGACTTAACACATCTTCCACATGTAGTCAATATTGTTTGTTAAAAAAAAATTAATCTTATCTTAAATTGGGTATGATCTAACATTGAATCTATGTTGGAACCTAAATTGGTTTCTTGGTTTGTGAGAAGTCCCTCAAAGAATTGCAAGGGCTAGTTTGTTTCAAATTGTAACGGCTAGTTCTTATTTAAGTTAATAAGATGACAGGTGTAGGGTGTTCAAATGCCTCAACGGAAGTCTGTGATTGTAACACTGCAACTGGAACTGGTAAGACCTTTGTCTTCCAGCTGCGTTGCAGATAAGAATCAATGGGCAAGGACCAAAAATCCTATCATTGACATACATACATATATATATATATATATATTTGCTTTCCTGTATAGCCGTCATCTTCTCTGAAATTCCTAGCAATGTGCATTTCTCAATTTTATGTTACCAAATTAGTCATAAATATTAACCGTCTATACTTTGTTGGAGGAGCTTATGAGTTTTTTTTTTTGGTTGGAGGAGCTTATGAGTTCAAACGTGACGAATACAAGACAAAAATTGTTACTTAATAATATTAAAAAAAAGATTTATTTTATCATTAAATGACTTAGTGGCAAACAATACTATCCTTAATGAGTTTATCAACATTGCATAAATAATTTTAAAATAAATTTTATTCAGAAATTAAAATAGTATTTCTTTATTATTTATTTAGAAATTAAAAGAGTATTTCTTTATTATTCTAAACTTTTTTTATTTTCCCGAGAACAAAAAAGACATCAAGTATTTCATCAAAATAAAAAATTAAAATTAAAATTATTTTCCCCTTTGATTGCCACTTCCAGATCCAAATGTACGTTGAAATAGCCGTCGATACAGAAACCGGAATTGCACATTGCTTCCAGGTCCAGACAGATCAAGGGAGAGACTGAGTATATATTATTATGCCTAAAAATCACAGAGGTGTAATTAGATCACGTTCTGAACCGGCTTTGAATCCTAATCGACTCAGAGACAAATCTTTGGCTCCTTCGACGTCACTTGCCGCCAACCCCAATGACATAGATACATTCTATGATCAGGGTAAGTTTCAGTTCCACACACATTATTCAACGTTCATGCATGCATGCATGCATGCATAATCCCACAATATTCACGTACACATTTTTCAAAATTAATTTCCTTGTTATTTTCCCAGTACTAGGTTTTGCAGTAATTCATATTATGTTCATCACAGAATGGTTAACGAAACTTACATGTCATGGCATTTTCGTTTTTTATCACTGGGGCTGGGAAATTCAAACTTAAAACATCTTCCAATGTTAATTGTGGAAGATAAATACAACTAGATCAACGTTTGCTTAAGGATTCATATTTGTATCATTTGAATAGATCGACTAATTCATGTTAAAAGGTTTTTGAATTTGGTTTTAAGCTATAGTAACTTTTTCCCATCTATTGACAGTGAATCTCACATTGGGAAAAGAAGGGACAAAGTATATATATGCTCATAAGTACTTGGACTACTTCTCATATTGCCAATTGGTTTTATGGTGAAATCTCAACTTTCTTTTTAGTATCAGGGCAGGTTGGCCAACTCTAAAGCTCAACAGCCACACATACGTCACCCGATTTGTGTTATCCACGTTCTAAGTTTAAAAGTTCAACACGTGAGAGTGCGTGTTTAGGGTATCCATTCTACATTAATTGGAGAAATAATGGACATTAAATGTGCTTATAAGTAATTGGGTTACTCTCATATTACCATTTAATTTTATGGTGGAACCAACTTTCTTCACCATTCATCATGTGTTTGGCACGAATTTTTATTGAGTAAGTCGGAATGGGCAATTAATTAGGAAAAAAACTTCTTCCAAAACACCATGATAGCATACATAAGATTAGCCGTGGCTAATCAAAATCCACGGTTGGTGAACCGTGAGCATGAACCCGAGGCTACTGCCCCTTTTTGTAGTAGTGTCTCTAGCTCATTTTTGTTCAACAATTTGGTTTTGATTTAATTCTATAAACCCCAGGTTGCATTCTTTCTGATGTGTTTATAATTAATCTTTTGAATGTATGTTTCCCCACTACAAATGTGCAGCGGAATCAGCTGATACAAGTTGCAAAGATTCAGAAGTTAGATGCTATGATGATGAAAATGCATCCTGGATATCATGGTTCTGAAATCAGAAAGGAAATGAATTCTTTTGTGAAGTCGAGGACGATTACATCCTCGATGATTTCAACCGTTCAGGTTTAAGAAATCATGTACCGTTCTATGATTATGCACTGGATTTAATTTTGGACGTTGAGTCTTCCAATGGTAAGAATCAGATAAGTCCATCAACCAAAATTACTTTGATGAAGATTTCAGCTGCCATTGCGGTACGAAGCTATTAAGTTATTATGTAATTTCCAATGAGATCAACAGATGGCTTAACTGATGAGGAACAGAACAATCTGATCGAATCCGCGGCGGAGATGCTCTATGGTTTAATACATGCCAGATACATAGCAACTAACAAAGGATTGTCTGCAATGGTAAGGTGTTTACAAAATACATATTAATTGCTTTATTTTCTTTCAAAATATTAGGTGTCACACCCCGAAATACTGTTCATGTTTCGGAGTGTGGCATTAGATTTGAGGCTTCCTAATTTAACAGTGCAATTCAGTTGGAGAAGTACAGGAACTATGATTTTGGCAGATGTCCAAGAGTTAACTGCAATAAACAACGTTGTTTGCCTGTTGGTCAGTCAGACATCCCAAGATTAAGCACCGTACAAATCTACTGTCCCAAGTGTGAAGACATTTATTCCCCACAATCCAGACACCAAGAACGTATCCTTATGTATGACTTTGTAAATGACATGACGAGTGCTTCTACTATACATCTATAAATACCTAAGAATAGTATACATTGTCTTTTAAGTAGCTCATATCCACCTGTTAAATTTCATGCGATTCTTAAGTGCATATTCAGTTCTTAAATTCAGATGTCTGCCATACATGGCATAAACTAGAATTTTCGATTCCGCCAATTTTGTTTTGTTCCGGAGCAGTTTTTCAATGTTTGCCTTGACAACAATCTCAGAAATTGATGGAGCTTACTTTGGAACCACATTTCCTCACCTTTTCTTCTTGACCTACGGGCATCTTAAGCCGCAGAAGGCGATTCAGAACTTTGTTCCGAGAATATACGGCTTCAAAGTCTGCAACGAATAATGAATCTTGCTTCTCTTGGTGAAGAAAATATAAAGGGGTCCAAGCAAGCAGTGTTGTTGCCTTGTAGGAAAAGAAACAGGGGCAGTTCACTAGTTTTACTTGGTTTTAGGTTGTGGATCAATGATTCTTTTGCAATTATGTGTAAAATTTCATTTCTTCAGTTTTAAGTTTAACTAGACGCCAAGATAGCAATATCTTAAACTAATCGAGAGATGTCACGTGAAAAAGTTAAAACACAAGAACTGGGCATGACATCAAAATTGTACAAGTTTCTCTCCATCAATCATGGGTTCTTGCCCAAAATTTGCTGAAAGGAAACTAGAGGCTAAATATACACCAGAAAGAGGTTAACTTAATTACTGGCTGACGACACTGCAGTACAGATACCTGTTGCCACCATTTGTAGGGCTAATAGCTGTTACAAAATAAACTACAGACTAGCTTGGTATCACTTTCACCATTACAGTCAAACGAATGTTATCACAAGGATCACCATGCTTCGCTCAGTTTCTCAAAGTTACGACGGGTGCTCAGAATGCTTTCAGTGATTGCGTTTTCTTCGGATTGCAACCTGCTAATTTCAGTACCTTTGGCCGCGTCCTCTGACATCAGCACCACCAGTTGATCCTGCAAGTCCTTAATCTGCTTAGCAACCCCACTGATTTTTTCATTATGTTTCTTTCTTTCTTGAGTTTGCACAGCAATCTGAATTTCAACTTCCTTTGACTTGTCCTGAAGCTGCCCCAACTGAACTTTCATTTCTAGCAAAGAGTTCAGACGGTCACGTACTGCCTTGACATCAAATCCAAACGTTTCTAAATCACCTATTTCTTGGAAGCTGCTATCAAAGAAGTCGTCAGGAACCTCAATGTTCACCTTGGAGGTCTTCTCAACCAAAGAGGCAAAGGTTAACATCTTTGCAATGGCTAATGATTCGCGACTTAGCTCTCCACACTTAACTAAAGGATAAAAATGTGGTTTTTGCGGATATCTTCTAAATGCATCCATAGATTCAACTTTTTCCCAAATTTCAGGATAAGATTTCACAAATGGCAAATCTGGACTGTCTTGTTGCTCAATGTTAACAGTGACACCAGTTTCAACTTGTGTACCTGTAACCTCATTTTGTTGGTTATCAGTCTCGGCTGGGTTACCTACAACAGATTTGACAAAATCAAAATAACTAGTCAAAGGAATCTATTGAAAATTTTCACATTTGCTTACTTGAGCCCTCTGTAGGTTTGACAGAATGCATTTCACTTGTGCACAACAAAAAGGGTTGATCATGAGCAGATGCCTTTTCGGATATTCCAGTCACAGCCACCTGAAGTTCTTTTGTCGAGCAACCCATTGGAGAATCAACAGTTTCTGCCTGTCTCACTGCATCTTGATAACATGGAAATTTCATACAAACAAGACAAAAGTAAATAGGAAAAATAAGTACTACCGAATGAGGGCAAAAGGAAAAAGGATAAATAAGTACTGTTGTTTTGCTCCGCATCAGCCTCATCTGTGACACCAGTTTCAACTTGTCTTCCATTAACCTCGTTTTGTTGGTTCGGAGTCCCAGCAAGGTTACCTAGAACACAATCTTGAGATTAGTCAAACTTGCTACGGGTAAAGGAACCCATGGATTCAATTTTTTACAAAAACCAAAGGTGGACTGTCGTGTTTCTCCACCTCACCTGTGACACTAATTTCAACTTGTCTTCCATTAATCTCTTGGTTGGCAGTCCCAACAAGGTTACCTAGGAAACAAACTTGATGTTAGTCAAAGAGCTACAGGCAAAGGAATCCACTGAATTTTCTTCACAATATCTTACTTGTACCACCTATGGTTTTTACAGAATGCACTTCATTTATGCACAGTGATAAAGGTTGATTATGAGCGGATGGCTTTGGCAATACTCCAGTCACAACCACCTGACCTTCTTGTGTCAAGTAATCCGTTGTAGAATTCACAGTTTCCGTCTCTCTCATTGCTTCTTCAGAACCTGAAAATGAATAAGACAAGTACTTCCATAGGGGGAAAACAAGGAAAAAGTCCATCCCTATTATGTTTAGTCTAACATTTCTCTTGGCCTAGCAATAGTTTGAATACATCCATGGTTTCAATGTTTTTCCCCTACTGTAGAATTTTCAGAAAAGGCAAATGTGGACTGTCAACGTCACCTGTTACGCCAGTTTCAACCTGTTTTCTGACCTCACTTTGTTGTTCGGAAATCCCAGCAGGGTTACCTATAACACAACATTGACGTTTTTCAAACAACTATAGCCAAAGAAATTCCTTCAAAATATTCTTGATAGCTTACTTGAGCCCACTGTAATACTTGTAATGCCTTTATCGATATCCATTGCAGAATATACAGCTTCCTCTTCGACCATTGCATCTTCAGAACCTGAGATTTTGACAAAGTAAGAGCAGAGCAGTGATGGGATGGGGAAAGTAAGAAGAATTCAAATTAAATTACACACTAGTTACTGTAATTAGTTTTTATGAACTAAAGGTTCTTCAGGTTGTGATGTGTCATACCTTTATATTTAGCAACTTGAGTCTCAGTCGATTCAACTTGAGCAACAACTCCAGTTCCATCATGTTTCTCACCTGCCAAAGTAGAAATTATTTAGACTACAGTGTTCTATTCCACTGTGCTTGGTGGATTTTTGGGGTTGTTAGCCTCCCATACCTTTCAAATCCAACCTTGTGATCATAGACAATTCGAATATATCATTCGAGCAATCCGCAGCCATAGATCCACCGCCATTATGTTCCTCGCCTGCACATGCTGGCACACATTAGATTTTGAAATAATTACAGATCTACGGAATGCTGTAGGTTTGACATATACACACCTTCAACAAGCAATGCAGTCCGTTTTCCATTCCCTTCTACTGCACTGGTCACTCCATCTTCATTCTGTCCAACCCCCTGAATGAGTTAAGAACAAACATCGTGATGAATAAAACTAAACTAGAAGCAATGAAATCCCAATATGGTACCTCCAAGTCCATAACTTTTCAAGAGATTATTGGACAGCTGAATACCTTCGAATTAATTATGGATAAAAAAACAACACTTCATATTTAAATGTCTTTCAACAAACAAGAGAAACATCTCTTTGTTTTGAACAGAGAGGTCTTACATTGTCATATTGGTCATGCATTGGAATTTACGCAAAAGCTTAATGTAGGCTACAGTTCTGAACTTCTGTTATGCAGAGACAAATGAAAGAAGCAAAGCATACTGGCTTCAGATATAAATACCTCCATAGGGAGCAGACATGATGCTCCAGCATGAGATCCCCCTGTTGCTTCAGACTCTGACTTGATACCAGAAGATTCAGTGTTGTCCATTACATGCTCATCTCCAATATTTACTTCACCGGTCTTTTCAATTTCACTTCTTTTCTTGCCTGCAATAGTTTATACATATTTATGTGGATTATCCAATGAACCTATTAGCATAGAAATATCATGTAATGTCAAAAGTTTCTTATGTCTTACCCTAGGCCATTGGATATCAGCTTGAGATATTCATGGTTTACCCTTGCCTTCAAAATTATTGGTTGATTATGTGGACCTATCATGTATATGTCTGTTTCTGAGGGCTATTGAATTTTTTACCATGCAATTTCAGTGGTATGCCCCTCCTATCATGTCCTACTCTAGGTCATGGGATGTCACTTTGAGGTTTTCGTGGTTTACCTTTTCTTTTGAAATGAGTTAATGCTTGATCATCTAGTCCTCTAACCTTCAGTTTCGCAATCTTCTGCAAGAGCAAATAACGCATTTTAATCAGGACCAGTAGGTTTTAGAAGAACAAAATCAGTGGAAAAATAGTGCACGGCTTTCTTTGTATAGCCCTTCTACTTTCAAATAATGAAGATGAAAACATTTGATCCCAATTATCCTTGAATGGACCTAAAAGAAGGCAAGCCGCTAGGACTGCTTACTCAAGCAAAATGAATGAATACAGAGGCCTCCGAGAATATGAACCTAACCTTAATCTTGGAATATTTCCATCAGGCATTATTATGCCATACAAACGATAGAGGCAACAGAGACCTATTTTGTTGTTTTCCTATTAAATATCAAGCAGAGATGAAAACTGAGTAGTTTTATGTACCGACATGTCCCCAATGATGAGCACTATTTAACCCTGCTATTGGAATTACTTGAGTCGGTGAGTGTTGCCCGTATAGTATAAGTAGTTTTGATAATGCTCACCGACACAAGTACTTTGACCAATACTGAGTGAACCAACACACTTCTCTGTGATTGCAGGGTATCTTGAGTAAAATGCAAAGAATAGAGCAAGTTAATGAGGTTAGAAAGGGAAGACTGGAATCATGAATTTGTATACCACAAGGGAACATTCAGCAATAGGAGAATAAATAATTAAATACCAACAACATTTTTCAAAGAGTTCCCTTACCAAAACATTAATAACTGGGGATTCTTTGTTTAGAGTTTTAACCAGCGTTCTCCTTGCAAACGGTTTCTCCAAAGATAAGGAGTCATCTGAATGCCCACCTTTTAACTTCTTGTAAAGACTTAAAATTGTTGCATCATCCTTAGGTTGCGGAGACATTTTCAATTTCTTGTTGGTCTTTCCATAAGGTAATTTATCCGTGCAAGGACTCAAGGGCTTCGATTGAATTTTCACTGAGATCCTAGAACAAGGTGTTTTCTTTCGAAGTGGTACCTACATCAGAGTTTCCGTAACTCTCACATGATTGTAATTCATAATCACGTTTGGAACTCTGACATGAATGCTTTGATTGTGCTTCAGACCCCCTTCTAAAGTGAAATTCCTGAAAAGAACCGCCAGAATTTAGTCACACACAACTAATTTGAATCCATCAAATGCTCTTCAGCATAGCAACTTGAATTTACACGGACATCGTTAAATCTTTCTGAATAAAATTACATCTTAATGATCTCATTTCCAAGACACAGAATGTTTCAAACATGATTACCATCTTGCCCATAAGAAACAAGTAATGACCATCACCTTTCCACTTATAAAACAATAGGAAAAAAAACACGTACCCGAACTTCAGTAATCCATTTTCCATGGCTCATAGTAGCCCATCCTCCATCAGTCCAATCCATGTGAGTCCTCAATTCTGAAAGGCTGAATTCCTTCTCCTGCCTCGTGCAACTTAAAGTGACCGCATACTTGTTTCCTTTAAGAACTTTTGTAATGTCTCCGACCCACCAACCCATGCCATGGAATGCATCCACCTTATCCAACAAGTTAAAATCTCTTTCAGTCGAATTTGGAGGCTGAGGCCGAATCTGATGGCCACGTACGACAATTTTATCATCGCTGTTGTTTGATTTCTTATATTGAAGCAAGAAAGAGTCGATCCCCAGTTGACCAAGATAAATTGCTGGAAACCAAGCATAAAATAGTCTTTCTTCGTCCGGATTCATTTCAACTGCTGTCCCAGGGCTGAAATTTGATACCATCATCATCTATGAAACAATGGTGAAAAATGTCAGTTTCTGTCTATGACAATTGACAACCATATCTAGCATAAGAAAATTTTCTACACTCTCCCAAAATTAGAAGAAAGTCAGATTCATTGCAAAAGAGATCAATACAAACATTCATGGTAGATAAATACAACATTAGCCAAGATATGATGAAACTGGGGGACCAAAACAAGCGATCAAGGTGGAGAAAAACTTATTTTTTAAAGTGAAAAAGGGGAATTTAAAAGCAAAACAACAGAAGGCAGAGCCAAATATGTACAAACAACCTGCATGTTCTTAAATCATGAAAACCCATGTCACAAATCTTCAAAGAAAAAAATCATAAATAAACACACAAAAAACCCTATGCAACCATAAACCTCGAAAAATCATGCATCAGAAAACAAAACCCACATGCATTACCAAAAACCCAGAACCAGTACCTCCTTTTTGGCTCGGACCCAAACGCCGTCCGCCAAATCCCAGTGAGAACGCAATTCTGACCGCCGCAGCACAAGCAGATCAGGCGGGTACATGAACCCCACCGTGTACGCATCCTCCTCGCGCTTGATCACAACCCCGGGCCACCACGCATCGAGGTGAAAGGCGTCGACTTTGTCGCCGGGCTCGAAGGGCCTGTCGACATTGTCGTCCGGAGGCACCGGCCGGATTTGACCCAACTCGACAAACTCCGTCAGGGGCTTGTCCGGGTCGACGTCAGAGACCAGAGTCTCGTACTGGACCTCAGCCTTGGTGGGTGAGAAGGAGTTGCTGCTGCCGTCGGAAAAGCTCTTCCTTTTCTTCTTCGTCGCCGGAATCAGTGGTTTCGAGTCGATTATTTTGGCGGGGAACCATGCGCCCTTGAAGCCATCTTCATTGCTGCAAACTTCCACCTTTGAATCCTTGCCCAAATGGGTTGCTGATTGACCTTTCTTGACCACCATTTTCAGTTGTCTTCCGTCACTTTCCCGAGAAAATAATCACAGTGTGGGAGAAAGTGGCAGAGTGGGAGTGAGAGTCCTCTCTCTCGCTTGCTCTTTCTTTTTTATCTCTCTCTCTCTTAACTTTATGAAATCAATACAATCCTGACCGTTGAAAGAAAAAGAGGAAAAAGGGAGAAAATTAGGGGATGGTGGGGGAAGGGAATCTTAATCCGATAATTAGTATCTGCTAAGTTATCAATCAGTCAAAAGGGTTTTGATTTGTTGCGGTGTGGGGGAGATAAAAAGTTTTCATCTTTCCGTCGTATAACTTCTGCATCACCTTTTTTTTTTTTTATAAATAATATTATTTATATTATAAAGATAGGAAATAAGCTAAACCTGATGAATGTGGTTTAAATTCATTTTTAGTGATAATTGAACCTAATTAGTATGTGCTAGGTTGAAACAACGGGTTGTATATGTTGAGGTCCAAATTTCACATTTGCACCCCCTAATTTTGTTGAGGTTCCTTTTTTCCCTTCTAGTTTGAATTTGTCAATTTTGTTACTATAGTTTAGTAGTTGTGATTCTTGTCATTTTCGTGAGACCTCACATGAAGATGTGAGTGAATGAGGACAGAATTTGTTTTTTTTAATCTTTTTGTCATTTTTGTTGTAGATAATAAAAACATTTAAAATCTAAAAATTGTAGACCATTTCCTTTTCTTAAGTTATTGTGCATCTATTCACTCCCCTTTCTCTTAACATCGCGAGATTGAACCTGATCACTTTAGCCCCTCCCAAATTATTTTAACTCTTTTTTACTCTAATTTCTCAATTATATATTTATATAGTTTACTATTTTAAAGGTCCCCTATATGGCCAGTACTTCTCATTTGTCAAGGAATTGACACCAATTGGGAGTGTCCTTAAATTGAAGGGACAAAATCTGCACAACCGAAACTAAGGTACCAAAAATCAAATAAGTTTTGTTACTTAGTATTACGGTCTAATATAATTTCTCTTCACTTGTAAGTGAGAGGTTTTAGGTTCAATACTCTCGTCAAAAGCGAATTTAAACCATATTATACTAGTTTACTGTGAGGCTAAACTCACTCTTTTTTTTTTTAGTGTCAATAATATCGTTTGTTTAAAAAATCAATAAGCTTTTATTTCAGGTGTAGGTCTTCGTCGTGTCTGCAGAGCAAACAAGGAAGGCGTTTTGGGCTCTGGGAAGTTTGGGCAACGTCCTGTAGGCCATCACTTAATTATGAAAGATTCTACACAATTTTGTTAATGCATAAATAAAGGAAAAATTGGTTTTGATCTCAGTAACATATAAAATATTCAGAAATATTCTAATTTATTTTAATGTGTTGGAAATACGATCATTTGCACAAAGTGTCATAATATAATTAGATAAATTTTTTTTTTGTTCAAGTTTTTAATTGTATTATTACATTTTTTATATGGAGCCGTATTCTCAGAACACTAAAAAATATCTCATATAAAAAGAAAAATACTATTTTATCTAACTTGATTAACTCCATATCAGCTCAGGCTATAAAAGATAAACGACTATAAGGAACCAGCATGTCTTTTAGTTGAAAGATGAGTAATTACATCAGTCATATGTGTGAAGAACGTTGCAACCACTTCAAGTTTGGCCTTTTTATGTCTGATGTATGACATAATATTAAATCGTGTTCATGACACATTGAAAAATTTATCGTGTTTTTGGTGTCTGAGAGTATAATTCAGCATAAAACCAAACTAAGATTATAACATCGGTTGTCATTGCTCCGTTGTGATTTGGTCCAATTGAATTCCACTTCCCTCCCTCTCTCTCTCTCTCGCTTTCTTCTCCCCTCGCATTTCACGTCACCTTCCTCCCAAAGTCACAAACCGCTACACCATTCCGCCAAGTCAATATAAGCCTTCTTCTTTTGCAACCCCTCTCCCTCCCCACCATTTCCTTCTTCCTCAATCCCTTCTCTCTCATCGCCTTCCGATCACAACAATCTCTCCCAATCCAATTCAATTCAGTTCCGGCATGCCGTTGCTGGTAGACTGCTCCAGCTGCAACACGCCGCTGCAGCTGCCGCCCGGCGCTAGGACGATCCGCTGCCCCCTGTGCCAGGCCTTCACCCGCATCGCCGACTCCCGCGCTCATCCACCTCAGCCTTACTCTGCCTCCTCCTCCTCATCTAACCACAACCCTCCTCCGCCCTCCACTTCTCCCTACAACCACGCGCCGCCGGTGCCTCCTCGGACGGTGCACGGACGGAAGCGAGCTGTGATATGTGCCGTGTCGTACAAGCGGTCCCGGCACGAGCTCAAGGGATGCATTAACGACGCCAAGTGTATGAAGTACTTGCTGGTCAACAGGTTCAGCTTTCCAGAATCCTCCATTCTCATGCTCACCGGTAACCTCTTTCTCTTCCCATTTCTTCAACGCTTGATGTTGCGTGTGGACTGAATTCTATGGTTAATATCTGTTTAAGTAAGACTTTAATTTATGGGTCAGCAAAGACTAGTTCTTGCGTTCTTAATTTCCACATTTATGGTTCGCAATCGTTGAATTGTTCTTAATTTGCTGCAAAGCATCGATTTTTTATTTATTATTTATTTGCAAGGTGGGTATTTTTCTGTAGATTTTATGCAATTACCATTTAAGTAATCAATTAAGTATGATTAATAACAAATTAACAATTGTGAAATGGTAGTAAAAAGTTAAAAGCTTGCTTTAGTAATGCACTCGGGTTTCTTTAGAACGTCGTTATGTTAATGTTCGTAAAAATCTAACGTAGATAACTTATTATCTTAATCTATATGTGTGTATTGCTTGCAGAAGAAGAAGCTGATCCTTATAGGCACCCGAACAAGCAAAACATCAGAATGGCGCTGTTTTGGCTTGTGCAAGGTTGTCAAGCGGGGGATTCTTTGGTGTTTCATTATTCTGGTCATGGATCACAACAGAGGAACTACACTGGGGACGAGGTGGATGGATTTGATGAAACGCTATGTCCTTCGGATTTTGAGACTCAGGGGATGATTGTCGATGATGAGATCAATGAAACAATTGTCAGACCTCTTCCCACCGGGGCTAGGCTTCATGCAATTGTGGATGCTTGCCACAGCGGTACTGTGCTAGATTTACCGTATCTCTGTAGGATGGACAGGTAACTCTAGCTCGATATTTTGTTATGTATCTGTGCTTAATGTTACTTCTGCAATCTGTTTTGTGCTTATCATTGCTCTATGTACTTTTTTCGTTTATTCATTGTTATATTTGAATGTAGGAACGGGAAGTACATATGGGAGGATCATCGCCCAAGATCAGGTGTTTGGAAAGGAACAAACGGTGGAGAGGTCATTTCCTTTAGTGGCTGTGATGATGATCAAACCTCTGCTGATACCTCAGTAAAGTCTTGGACAAAATCTTAAACTGTTATTTATGCTAGACTAGCAGCGTCTCCTTTTCTGACATAAGGCTGTTAAAGGAAACAAAGCTAACGCTCCTCGTGTGCAGGCTTTGTCAAAGATTACTTCGACTGGTGCCATGACTTACGCTTTCATCGAAGCCATCGAGCGTGGACATGGAAATACATATGGTAACATGTTGAATGCAATGCGATCTACCATCCGTAACACAGACAATGATGGTGGAGGTGGTATTGTGACATCTCTTATCTCCATGCTTTTGAAAGGGGGGAGTCTTGGCGGGATAAGACAGGTACTATTTTTGCACTCGTTGTGACCATATTCAAAATGCCAAAATGCGTGAGCAATTAAACGCTCCCATAAATTTAGATTTTTGATAAACTTGATCTTAAATCAATTAAGTTGGTTTCGGTTTCGGTTAGCATCTTTAACTCTCCTTTGAACGATCTTTGGTGCAGGAACCACAGCTAACCGCCAATCAACCATTTGATGTGTATACGAAGCCTTTCTCCTTGTAGTTATTGAAGCAGGATTTCCCTACGATTGCTCATGATCATTCATTAATCGTGTCCCGGCCTCCTATTCGTGTGTACACTTCTCAGAGAAACCCAATTTTGTATCTGCTTGTGTTTAATTCTGTTGTTTACCGATCTATGTTTTCTGTGTTCTTGGATGATGCTCGATGGCTGTTAGGCATGCTGTGTAGATCTGATATCAAATAGACCCTAACCGATAAAATCTGTGTCTGAAACTTCCTTGCATTGGAACAAGAACAAGCTACACCAAGTAAACAACGCAAACAGCCTTCCGACGAATAATTCCCACCTAATTAGTCCTTTTTCCCTGTCAAGATTCAAAATCCTATGTCTTTAATGTCCACAAATAGAGTCAAAAGCTTAGTCATTTCAAATTATTCGACATCTAAATAGCTTCGAATAAGCCCGCGACATTTTTTTAGGCTAAATTTTTTTCTTAATCCCTGTGGTGAGGCACTACTTTTAAATCGACTCATGTGGTGAAGTTCGTTATCAATCATAGTCCAAATTGAAATTTCTGTCAAAATCTCATCCACATGCAGGGCTAAAAAGGTCATTTCATTCTTTTTTTTCTTTTCTTTTTGGTAATTCCACTTTTTTATAATCAACAAAAAAAGAAGAAATCCCTACCCTTGCCAGCCATAGCCACCACCTTCCCCCCTCTCTCTCACATAACCCTAGACATCCAGTCCACCATTGTTCTTCTTAAAATAAAACTAAATTCAATGTTTGCATAATAACTTATATTCTAACCTAAACGTGGCAAGGTAGTTTGTGATTTTTTAAACCTTGAATTTGAACTCTTGGCTTTCTTGAAATAAAAAAATTTGATAATATGAACCTTGTAATTTTATTGTTTATTTATTCTTTTATTGTAGCTCTAAACGTTTAAAAAAAAAATTGATGTCAATATAGCGCTTTATGATTGGTTGATGGAATCAATAAAAATGAAAATAACAATTTTGCCTCTACAAATATCAAAAGAATGAGGAAAAATCCAATTTGGACTATGATTGATAACGAATTTCATCATAGAATTACAATTAATAGCTTTTTCACCACATGAGTATCTTTAAAAGTAGGGTATTACCACAAGGATCCCCCAAAAATCAATACCTACATATTAAAAAATTCATCGAAAATATACAAAACGGAAAAAAAATTCCAGTTGCAGGAAGATCAGTTAATCAACCGATCGACGACGATCCGAGTTGCAGGAAGATCACGATTTGGAAGGCGAACATGGTGTTGAATATATGGATTTATCAGGGGAAGGGGGTTGTTGGGGTTCCAGGGATCGAGATGGGTTCCAAGGATCGGGATGGGGTTCCAGATGAGAGAGACGGTTGCCATGACGTTAGCATGTCGTCAGATGAGCCGTCTCCTTCCTCTGTCGATTTTAGGCCGGTCTGTGGACTAGCTTGGGCTGGGTGCCAGTCTATTCCACGGGCTGGAGTGGATTGGCTGAGTCTCAACCTGTTTTTTCCACTGGGTGCCGGCCTCTTTTGCTTCTGGTGGAAGTGCTTTTATTTAACATGATATTAGAGTGGGGTTGATTGTGAGTAGGGCTGGAAAAAAATACCAAAAATCCCGAACCATACCGAAACCAAACCGAAAAAATACCGAACCAAAAATCCCGAAAATTTTAGTACCGAAACCGAACCGATCCCGAATTGTTTGGTATGGGATTCGGTCTTACAATTTGAAATATTCGGTATTCCCGATCCCGAACCGAACTTTATTAATATTATATTAGGTATATTATATATATGTGTGTGTGTGCATGTGTCTGTGTGCGTCTGTGTGTGTGTGTGTATATGTATATGCGTCAGTGTGTGTGTGTGTGTGTATATATGTATATGTGTCGGTGTGTGTGTGTGTGTGTGTATATGTATATGTGTCGGTGTGTGTGTGTGTATATATATGTATATGTGTCAGTGTGTGTGTGGTGTGGTGCTGACAAACGTTGCATCAAGCACATGGGAAGGGATGGGTCACGCAAGGCAAGGGTGCTTGCTTTCTGAAGACAGAGCCGTCTCTCTCTCTTCCCTATTTTCTGTCTCATCAGTCATCTCTCTTCTTGATTATCTCCCAGACTCCCTTTCTCTACAACCCATAACCTAACCCTTCATCTCTCTCTTATTTTCTGTCTCGTCTCTCTCCACAACTCATAACCTACCTAATCATTTATCCCTCTCATTTTTTCTATCTCATCTCTCTCGTATTCTCTCTCTCTCTCTCTCTCTCTCTCTCTCTCTCTCTCTCTCTCTCTCTCTCTCTCTACAACCCAGAAACCACCTAACATTTCCTTCCACCCAATCCAAAACCAAGCCAAACATCCCTACTCACTCTCTCTCATTTCATTTCGCCTCTCATCTGCCTTCACTCAGTCTCAGACTCTCCCTCTCTTTCTCGGATTTGAAGCTTAGCAGCCACCCACCGTCTAGCAATCTGACTCCGACGAACTATCTCCACTCCGGCCACCACCACACCTCATGGCTTCATCCCCACCTCCGGTTCTCTCCAGTGATTCTCTGTGTGTGTGGGATTTCAAATTGAGGTTAGGGTTTTGAATTGGGGCTTAGGGTTTCGAATTGGGGGCTCGGGTCAGGAGGAGGTCCCTCTCTTCACTCTGCTTCTTTCTCGACCATAAATCTTTCACTGATTCACTATCACTATGTCTCTGATTTCAATTTGGATTTTTAATGCAGGTTCGGATGATTTCAATATTAATCTAAGACGATTTGGATTCTGATGATGTTCGGTTTCGGGAAATTCCGAAATACCGAAAATATTTCGGGAATCCCGAAATTTGGGAATCCGAAATTTCGGTTCGGGATCGGTCATGAGATTTACGTCCCGAAAATTTTCGGTTCGGGATTTGATATGCCATTTTTGGTTCGGTATCCCATACCGAACCAGCCCTAATTGTGAGTCATGTGGGTTCGTGTCATGCCCAAGTTATCAAACTTAATGTAACACTATGTTTTTGCGCATAATGTCTGATGTGAGATTAGTTTCACGTGTAGCCTATTATGTGGTGGTCTCATGTGAGAGGGGCATTGATAGGATTTTTACAACTCATGTGAATGTGATAAAAACCTCCTATTTTACTTGCAATAATTACAAGGATATTGTAGTATAAACGGATCTCGCAAGGTCATTCTCCACAGGGATTATTAAATAAACCGAAACAAATCAGATTTCAATTAATTATTGTGAAGTAGAAATTTAAGTGAGTGATTTTATAACCTAATTAAAATAAAAACGAATTTAATGAATTAAAATAAACAAACTGCAATATTAGGATTAGAGAGAAGAAAACAGTTTTGAGAAAATCAAATTAAGAAAGCATAGGGTTCCACCATCACCTAGCAATCCTATGAATTTTTACCAATTACTTATGATCTACACATGCCACTTTGAAGGTTAGATTTTCCTAATTCATATTCTACTTGGAACCTCCAACATAGAACATATATCTAACATGCAACCCGTCCGGACGTTCGGATCAAATCTAAACATGAAAGACTCATTATGCTTTATGAAAATCCTTTGAAAAACCATGCAATCCTTAAGACGTGATATTCATCTTAAGAGAAATTACAATTATTAATCACAAGAAGCCAGCGTCAATTTCAGGGAACCTTCCGACCAAAATTGCATCAAATTACTTTTCTAAAGATCCTAATGGTGATCAGGCATTAAGACAATTAGATAGTTTTTATCCCGGTGATTAACAATTCAAAATATGCATGCAATCAATCATAAGCAATTAAATAAAAATCACATATTCATGCTAAGGCTCAAGGCTTCACCCTAGCAAAAGAAATTAGTTCCGCATATTCATAATTGAAATCATAGAAAATATCGTTAAGAAAAGGATTGAAAACACCTTCAAGTAGAAAATCTTCAAAACCCTAGCACTTCTCTCTGTCTCCAATATTGCATAAAATAAAACCGTTTTTTAAAACTGTAGACGGCCAAGCAATATATCTGCTAAGCCACCACACAAACCCTAGCCAACTAAAATTAATAAAAACCCTAAATAAAAATAGTAAAATTCGTCTAAAATCTGAACAGCCACGTTTTTGGCCCATAAGCTGCTCCAAAACTGGCCTAATATAGCTGGATTTGATGTTTGGAATATTCTGAACACTTTTCCAGAAGGCCACGAACCCATCCGAGGTCATCTTGGGCTCCAAAAACGCAATTTAAGCCCAAAACGTCACTTTCCAGCACTGCGCACTGCTTCTTTATTTCATCGCCAGAAAATCACCGCTTGGTGGAAAAATCCCAAATTTTGATACGATCAAGCTAAGTGACTCACGAACGTCCTCCAACTGGAATTACTCCAAAATTCGTCCATTTGATCCTGTTTTGCGCATAATGTCTGATGTGAGATTAGTTTCACGTGTAGCCTATTATGTGGTGGTCTCATGTGAGAGGGGCATATTATATATAAGTCTCACATCCAGAAATTAAGAAAATTAAAAATCTTTTGTAATAAAACTCACCACCTAGCAATAGATGATTAATTGAGTTATTTCGTAACAAAACTCAACAATAAATAATTAAGTTAGAACAATATCGAGTAATTCAATGCCCCGTTTCTACACTCCATTTTAACACAATAATTGGCCAAATTAGATTATTAATTTAATGTGCAAAGTTCAAATCTTGTTCTCCAATAATGGTTTGGAAAGTAAATTCCAATTTCAGCACTATTTACCTAATTTAACGACATCAAGTTGCCACAATGATTGACCAAAAAAAAGGACAGAGATTCCAGCCATATCTCATCCCACAAAATCAGATCTGGACAGTTGAAATTTGATCAAACGGTTACAAATAGGAAGCTTTTCTAAAAATAATAATAATTGTAACTGTTGGATTAAATTTCAACCGTCGGAATCTCTGGATCCTTAAGATTTGGTGGGAGATCCTGGGATCTCTGTTCCAATAAAAATGTTGACACAATGACACATAAGATAGACCCAACAAAGTTGATATATTTTACTCAAGCCCCTCCCAAAATAAACATTTACTATTCAGTCTCATCCCCTGTTTAAAGTGTTGAGCTGCTTCTTTATCCAAAGTTTCAACTTTAAGACATGGTAACACCAATCGGAGTTGCAGCAGCAGCAACAGCACCGCAAGCTACGACTGGTCCGCTAACGTGCACACTGGGTCCGTCCTGTCAAGGTCATTGCAGTCGTTACCCGCCTCCCCCTCCCCCCTCCCCCATCCGTCTCTTCCTCTGT